TTTGGCAGGAGGGAGGTGGGTGAACCAGTCCCTGCCACATCCTCAGTCCGAAGACACCCTCCAGCCAGCTTTCCCTTTGGCTCCCACGAGAGGGGGCGGGGCAAGAACAGGTGGTCCCAACGGCTGAGCAGCCAGTAGGTCTGGCCACTCAACCTGGACCACCTTTGCACCCTTCTCCAATGGAAAGGACAGCCTTGCCTCGGGCCAGAAGCCACTGTTTCACGAGGGATGGACACCATACATGGACACTCGGTCAGGACAGTGGACTATAAAGGTAGCAGCCAGTGTCTTTCCCTGCCCGCTCCTGGAGGCCATTCCCCCTCTTACTGACTAAAGCTCTGCTCACCGGCTGTTCCTGGCTCCACACAGTTTTAAGGCTGTGCTACGGACTCTTCACTGACTCCACGGGCAGCCGGCTCTTCCTGCTGAGGGGAGGAGGGAGCGGGGCGTGGCGTGCTGGGCCTGGCCTACCACTCCCACAGCGCAAGGTGGAGAGCCAGGCACGCCCAAAGTAGGGTGAGCTTGCAAAACCTAGCTTGCCACCTTGGCTACCATGCACTGCCCTGACGGCCCAACCACACCAACCACTCCAACACTTGTCCGCTGGTCAGGAGTGGGGGGGACACTTAGCTGGCTGAGGGATAAGGCGCAGTGCAACAGAAGGAGCGGAAAGCCTGAGGTGAGCCAGGCTTACGCACACACAGCTGCTCTGGGCAGCTACCCTCTTAGCCTCTTCCACCTCAAGGAGCCAGAGCACATCTTCAGGCTCCAGGGACAGGAGAAACTGCCTTCATTCCAGGCCCTCGTTCTGGGAAAAGGGGCGAAGGGAAGCCTAGGTCTATGGGGAACCAGTCTGACATCAATCTTTGCAGGGCAAAGCCTTTCTTTTTCCAACTTTGTTCAGGATAGTCTTCTCCCAAGGTCCTGATTTCACACAGGAAATGTACCAGCTATAGTCACTGAGCTGGGGCCAGCAATGGAGATGGAGCACCACAGACCCTTAAGAGTTCCAGCCTTGCTGGAGTGGGAGATCTATCCACTTTCTGACCATGCGAGGCAGAAGGCTCAACGTCCCAGAGCCAGACTCTCAGACTCTCTCCTGGTCTTCCTTGTGCTGACGCCACAATACCAAACAAGTCTCACATCCCTTATGTCTACACCCAGGAGTGCAGTCTCACTCCTGCTTCCTGCTCTCTTCTAGAAGTAGTAGGCCTGGCTCGTAGGGAACCACCCTGAGGGGTATGAGAAGGGGAAGTCTTTTCACTTTCCCTGTCTCCCAAAATACTAGAGGTGGGTTGGCACCCTCCCCAGGCTCTCTGAGCCTATAGAGCTAGCCCAGGCTCCAGGCAAGGCCAAGATGCCCTGGGACTTAGCTGGGGGAGGGAGGTATAGGCATGGGGTGCTCATCTGTCCTGGGGGCTGCAGAGCCCTGCCCCTTTTCTGGGTGGCAGTAGGAATACAGAAGCTAAGCTCACCAAAATCCTATTGGTTAATGTTTCTAGTGAATTTCCCAGAAACACTTTTTAAGTAGACTATCAAACTACCATTTCTCAATTAAAAATTCATTAAACTGCTAAAACCCCTCCCATGCACTTTTCTTGCAAATCAAATATTTGTATAAACAAACAAAAATGGGGGGAAAAAGAAAGGATATTTTGAAATGGAACTTACTTTTTAAGTGATGAAGACATGCACTTGGGGCTGAATGGGTAGGTGGGAGTTCTCATTTGTGGTTTGAAATCCCAAATTAATGAGCATGATAAACTGTTATTGCTGGCACTGGCTTTACCCCAAGTGGCCAAGTGGCACTGACTCTCTACTCTGAGTCCTTGGTGGGTCCTCCCAACCCTCCCCTAACTCCCACCCTTTCCCTTTCCATTTGACTTGGGACAGCCCTTGTCGACGTGCCAATCACAGTGGGAAGGGAGAAAAGGGGGGAGGTCACAGTGCATGGGGTTCAAGGTCACAGTGGGCGGAGCAAGGGGATCACAGTGCAAGTAAGTCAGGTCGTTCCCTCTGCTCAAGTCCAGCTGTCAGCTACGGCAGTGCAACCCGCAGCAGACGACCCAGGAGGCGGTGATGGTGGCAGCGGCGGCATCCTTTCCTGCCAGCATTTATCTGCGCTGTTTGAAGCCTTGTGACCCATCAGGACCCAAAGGCTGTCTGATCACATTATTGGGCTGCCTGCTGTCTTCGGGTTGGGAGATCCTGGTTGGCCTGAGGGGAAGAAGATCAGAAGAAGGACTGAAGGAGGATATAAAAGATGCCCCCAGTTGTAAAGCCAATACTCCTTGGAACTGGGGCAGAAGCCTTGGAGGCAGTCAGCCAAATCTGGCTCACGAGTCTGTTTCTTTGGCAAGCAGACTCAGGACATCACCAAGTCGGGAGGTCCCTGTGGGCAGGCAGGGTAAGTGTGCTCACCTCTAGCAGTTACAGCATCCCCCCAGCCCCATGGCCGGCCTCATTCATGCAGGTAGGGGGAGTGCTCAAGGGCCCATTCCGTCCATAGGCAGTGAGCATGGACAGCACAGCCTCCACGGAACCATGTGGCAGCATCAGCCAAGATAAAGGGCCCTGACCAAGAGCTCAGCAGAGGGACACGTCCCTGCCATTTCCACCCTCCTGCTTTTCTGAACACTAGACGTTTAATGATTGACTCAGATTGCTATAAAACTGAAGAAGTGCACATTTGGAAAGGTAAAGACTTAGAGAAATAATAGAATAGATAACTTTTCAAAATTATGAAGACAGAAAGAAGATATGCAGATTAATTCTTCAAGTCCCAGAATATCTAGCCAAAGATGACTCTCAAAGTTAGAAAGAGGACATCTCGACAAACACTGCTTCACCAGAATGTGACAATCTTACATAGTGCAACCCTAGTACTGCAGGAAAAAAAATGCCAAGAGTAGAAAGTAATTTAGAAAATTCACAAAAACATCAGAGTGGGCTTACTGGAGACCCAGGAGAGAACATCAAAGCACTTAACTAGGTACTTCCCCTGTGCCAGCTAGGATTCTCAGCACCCTGTGCTCTTTGCTCATGTACTCAGTGAACTTCGTGACTTGATAAGATACTGTTGGTACCCCATTTCTCAGATTCGGCAACTGAGACCCATAAAGGCTAAATAGTTGTAAGAGGTTCAGTGGTAGATTTTCACTCAAAGCCCAGCTTTTAACCTCCATGCAACACTGCCCCCTGGTGCCGGCAAACGCCCCCACCCTCCCACAAGCACCCTGCAGGGCTCTCAGAGCCCTCCCCAGCCACAAAGGCACAGCCGGTGAACCAGCCCCAGCAGGCTGAGGTTGGCAGCTGGAGCTGCATGGGCTCCAGGCCTGATTCCACTCTTTTCTTGCGACTCTGTGAGCAGCCAGACTGCTCCTCTCCTCCCGGGGGTGCCTGGGCCAGCCAGCGACACTCACCTGTCGAGGATGGGTTTCTCCTGCTCCTCCTCAGGGCTGGCGCTGCCCAGGATGCGCTTGCGGGCCTCGGCGTACTCCGCCTCCCGCTGTGCTAGGGACTTGACCGGAAGGGCTGGCCTGCTGGTGGAGTTGGGGCTGCTGACCACACCGTTGCTGGTGGGCCTCTTGAGGATGCGGATCTGTGGAGGGGGCCCCGCGGGAAGGCTATCGTCCTGAATCACAATGGGCACTTTGGGAGGAGATTTGGATTTCCTGCTGACAAAGAGCAGACACAGCTTCACAAACCCCACTCCTGACTGCGGCAGTCCCGTCCACGGTCCGCCTCCCCCCCGCCCACTCTCCTCTCCCTTCCCCACTAATTCTACTCATTATTCTCTGGCCTCTGACCAGACAGCAAAGCTCCCACTCTTCAAGAAGGGTCCCCTAAAAGGCAAGCTTGCCGCCGGCTCTGGCAGTCCACAGGAGCTGCTCCTCAGCCCCGACCCTGGCCAGGGGGCGGGGTCGCCGCCCGTGCTGGAACTTCTATCCCCATGCTCATTACAGTCATGACCACCACCATTCGGCCCCTGCAGCCAAGCATTTCATGTCCAGAATTCAACGACTTCAGTGAAGATCCCAGCTTCCCTACACAGACCAGGTATGACAGGCTGTGAGGTGGGAGCCTCTGAGCCTGGGGTCAGCAAAATGTGTACCCTCAGCCAAGTCTTCCACCACATGCTCAAGCCAGTCGCTCTACCAAGGAACCCGCTCCGCCATCCCTGCCCGGCATCAAGACAGGATTTACCAAACCGCCTCGGCCTTCTGGGGGAGTGACAACCTGTGCCTCCCAGAGACAAGCTACACCCAACAACTGAATGGCCTCTGCCAGAGTGTCTGAGCAACCTCCCTCACCGGGCGCTCTGGACAGCGGCGGGGCTGGGGTGAAGGATCATCCTAGAATCGGAGCTTGGCAATGCTCAAAGAAAAAGCGTTGTCCAAGGCTGGTGGATGTGCACATCAAGGCGATGTGTCCCCAAGGAGAGGAGGGATTAACAAAAAACAGGGAAAACAACACAGGAGAGAAATGAAAGCCACAGGAGGCAAAAGGAACCCAGGCAGGAATGACCGACCACACAGCCACAGGGACAGTCAACCAGCTTCTCTTCGGAACCCAAGAGCTCACAGGGGCCTGTCTTCAGAGTCTTGGTTATCAGGAGGGGTGGGGGTTGGAGGAACTCAGCTGCTGCCAGGGGGAGCTGGAACAAGTCCTGGGCAGGACAGGAATGACATGGAGAGGGGACTGTAACCAGGGGTTAATGTGGTTGCTGAGAAGAGCAGACAGACAAGAAGCCAGCAATCCGATCAAAGAGGCAGGGTGCCAGGAAAGCTAGCAGGCGGGCAGTGCACCCAGAGCTCCCAGGGGAATGACTGCAGCCCAGTAAGCAAATCCAGAGAGGCCCATCCTCCTTCCTGCCACTTGTCCCGATGGAAAACTGACAGGTTACCTAAGCCCCAAGACAGAAGGAAGAAGTCAACTTTCACCTGCTCTGGAAACTCACTTCCTCTGCTGTCTAGGTGGGGAACAAAGCTATCTCTCAAGGTCCTTTTCAGAATTTCCTAGAATCTTTTTCTTTCAGGATATACTCATAATACCCTAAACCACAAAGTCACTGGGGGTCCAGATAACTCATCTCCCCAAACTCTTTATGTCAGAGAAAGAAACTGACGTCCAGAGGGGAAACAATTTGCCCCAACCTCAGAGCAATTGGAGGCACAGCCAGGACTAAAACCCCAAGTCTTTCAACTTGCCCTCTTCCCACTTTCATCAGATGACCTCACGCAGGGGGCCCACGAGGGTCAGAGGCAGGTGCAACACCCGAGCCTCACTCCCAAAGCCTCAAGCCACCATGTCCTGGTCTCCACCTTGGAGAGAAGGGTTTGCTGCCCAGGAGCCTGACCTGCCAAACTTAACGGCCAGCTAGAGAACACCACTGACTGCTCAGCTCTCAAACAGCAGAGAGCATGAGCCCTCAGACCAGACAGCAGCCTTACCTCTCCTTTTGTGTGATCTTCAGTTTTTTTTCCAACCGTCTGTCTATTTCCTAGAGGAGAAAAATGTATATAAAAAGTGGAAAAAAATCTCTCTCAAACAAAAACTTAAGTCTTTATTATCAGAGCTAAGGGCAGTGTTCTCTCTCTAGTCAGAAACATGACCATGCCCTGCAAGGTGATGATGCGGACTAGAATAGAGCTTGGGGACCTGACACCCTCTGCAGTCCATGTCCCTTCTAACCCCATGGCCGCCGCAAACAGTACTAGACCTCAGTGTTCAGCTGGGTTCTTTGCATGGCCTCCAACTAGTCTCCTGGCCCTCAATCTGTCCTTCACAGAAACACTCAAACTAGCTTTCTAAACATAAATCTGGGGAACACTTATTCTATTTTATGGAATGAAGTGTTACCCGAAAAAAATTTAAACATAAATGTGATCATGTCACTTCCCCACTTAAAGCCCTTCAACTGCCTGCAGACCAAGTCTAAGCTCCTGAGCACGCCTCGCCCAATACCTTCTTGTATCTTCTGTTCCTGTTTTGCTGTCACTAATCCTCAGAATTAGTGACAGCGTGTTGTTCCACCTGCCTGCAAGGTCCTCCCTCCTTGCAAACTCCCATTTATTCTGCAAACCCAGCTTGGATGTCTATTCCTTTGTGAAGGCTCACCACCTGCTTCTCAGGGATAAACTCTCCCTTTTAAATTACTCCATGGTCACATGTATCAAGTATTTTATAACCTATTTTTTACTGTTATGAACTTGAACTCCCTGTGACTAGCACCTAGCATAAAGCGAAGGGTGAAAAGAAGCCTAATGCCTGTGACCCTGGAACTCCACAGTTTACAACTGGACACTGGGGGGATCTGAAGAGACAGGAACCCTGAGCCTACAAAAGGATTTCTCAGAACCAGAGCCTGACAGGTCCTAAAAACACAAAGCCACCATGTTAGGAAAAAAGCAAAGAGAAGAAAGCAGCTGAGAAGGAGCAGCAGGCGGGACGACCTTCCAACACGTCCTGGTCCTAACCCCACAACGGCGGCCAGTGCCCTTGCTGGGCCTAACCCCTTCAAGGCTTGGGCAAGGCATCATCGCCCATGGCAGTCTGAGCCCTCAGGCCCTCAGCACCAGGAAGCTGGTGGCACCTCCACACACTCACATGCAGGCGCATGTGACCTGGATGGGGGTGTGGCTGGTGAGAAGCTGTGCACAAAGGCCAGCCCCTGGGGTTCCTCGGCTGTCCCGACCACCCGGCCTTCCTCAGTGAGGGCAAGACCAACTAGTTACCGGAGGAGAGAGTAACTGTGTGCAAAACTGGGTTTCTCTGGAGAGAAGGTCTACAATAATTGTTTTCAGCCAGACAAGATTTCGCCCCCCAGAGGACATTTGGCAACGTCAAGACCATTTCTGGTTATCACTACCAGGGGAAGATGCTATTGGCATCTAGTGGGTAGAGGCCACGAAAGCTGCTAAACATCTTATAATGCACAAGATAGCCCCACACAAAGAGTTACCTAACTCCAATGTCAATAGTGCCGAGGTTGACGATATAAATAAAATACACAGGATTTTCAAAGGAACTCATCACTCACAAAATGTTAAGCACCAAAGCCGCAGTGAGAGGGCTCTAAAACGAGCTGAGAGCTACCTTAAGGCCTAATGCATAGCCCGTTTTTTTGAGTGCGCTGCATGCCCTGAAAATGACTATATTCTATAGTTGATAGATGCAGTTCAAGTCACTTAGCTATGCTGTTCAAATCTCATCAATTCTTACTAGTTGGCTTGATCTACTGTCTATAGAAAGAATTATTCTTTCTAGTAAAACAGTTTATCATAATGAAGTGATCTTCTTTGCCTTAGAATCTATTGTTTTATATTAATAAAGCGAGACCACCTTTCTTTTGGTTGGTATTTCCTGGAATGCGTTTACTCTTACCTTTCTACATACTCATTTGTGTCTCTCGTAAACAACATGAACGAGATTAACCATATGAAGCTAGATTTATTTGTTTGTTTGTTTGTTTATTTTTTGAGTTAGAGTCTCACTCTTTGTCACCCAGACTGGAGTGCAATGGCATGCTCACGGCCACCGCAGTCCTGACCTGCTGGGCTTAGGTGATTCTTCCATCTCAATCTTCTAAGTAGCTGGAACTATAGACACACACCACTCGCCTTGGCTTCCCAAAATGCTGAGATTACAGACTGAGACACCAAACCCGGCCACAAAGCTAGATTTAAATCCAGTTTAACACTGACACACCTATTCTGATTGGTGCTGACTTGTGTTTAAGATATATTTAGTCGGGCATGGTGGCTCATGCCTGTAATCCCAGCACTTTGGGAGGCGAAGGTGAGAGGATTGCCTGAGTCTGGGTGTTCGACACCAGCCTGGGCAATTTGGCGAGATATCATCTCTACAATAAATAAATAAATTAGCCAGGCATGGTGGCATGCGCCTGTATTTCCAGCTACTTGGAAGGCTGAGGCAGAAGAATCACCTGAGCCCAGCAAGCCGAGGCTGCATTGGTCATGAGTGTGCCACTGCACTCCAGCCTGGGCGACAGAGACTCCTACTCCAAAACACCCCCCCCCACACACACACACATATAACCTGAGGGCACCGTGATCTTGCAGGGGCTAGGAAGGAAATGAAAACCTCTCATTCCAGCCTGGAACATAGTTGGCGCCCAATTAAGTTCAATGACTGAATGGACAGGGTAAACCAACAATAAGAGAATGACAACCTGGGCTCGGTGGCTCAGCCTGTAATCCCGTGCCTTTGGGAGGCTGAGGTGAGTGGA